CTAGGTACATGGAATGCTCGCACAATGTGGGAGACTGGGAGAGTTTTCCAAATTGCTGCAGAAATGAGGAGATACAATTTAGAGGTGCTTGTGATCAGTGAAACACATTGGACGCAAGTTGGACAACAACGACTAGCTTCAGGGGAGCTGCTGTTATACTCCGGACATGAACAAGAAAATGCTCCACATACATAAGGAGTTGCATTGATGCTGTCCAAACATGTACGAAATGCACTTATAGGATGGGAATCTCATGGACCAAGGATCATCAAAGCCTCCTTCAAAACAAAGAAAACGGGGATTACAATGAACGTCATCCAATGCTACGCGCCTACCAATGACTACAATGAAGACGTTAAAGATCAATTGTACGATAGGCTGTAGTCAGTGCCCAACAAAGGACCTGACTATTCTGATGGGAGACCTTAATGCCAAGGTTGAAATTGACAACACCGGATATGCAGAGATCATGGGACGACACGGACTCGGAGAAAGGAACGAAAATGGTGAGAGATTTGCAAACCTACGTGCCTTCAATAAACTGGTCATAGGCGGGACTATATTCCCACATAAACGCATACACAAAACCACATGGACTTCACTGGATCACAGCACAGAACCAAATCGACCATATCTACATCAACAAAAAGTTCAGGAGGACAATGGAGGACGTGAGAACAAAGAGAGGAGCTGATATAGCATCAGATCATCACTTGCTGGTCGCCAAGATGAAATTGAAACTCAAGAGGCACTGGACAACGTGGAGGAAAATATCACAAAAATTTAATACGTCTCTTCTTCGGGATAATGACAAACTCAATAAATTCAAGATAACCCTCAGCAATAAGTTCCAGGTCCTTCATGATCTACTCAATGGAGAAGAAACTACTATGGAGAGCAACTGGAAAGAGATAAAAGAGGCAATCACTTTAACATGTCATGAGGTTATGGGCCAAAAGAAGCACCATCACAAGGATTGGATCACGATCGATACACTGGATAAGATTCAAGAAAGGAGGAACAAGAAAGCCGCAATCAATACCAGTCGAACAAGAGCAGAAAAAGTCAAGGCACAGGCTGAATACACAGAAGTAAACAAGCAAGTGAAGAGGAGCATCAGAACTGACAAACGTAAATATGTGGAAGATTTAGCAATGACGGCGGAAAAGGCTGCCAGAGAAGGAAACATGAGACAACTGTATGAAACAGCAAAGAAACTCTCTGGAAATCACCGTAAACCAGAACGACTAGTGAAAAGCAAGGAAGGCAAGATAATCACCAACATTGAAGAACAACGAAACAGGTGGGTAGAACACTTCAAAGAACTCTTGAATCGACCAGCCCCACTGAACCCACCCAACATCGAACCAGCACACACGAACCTCCCAATTGATGTTGGCGCACCGACAATTGAAGAAATCAGCATGGCTATCAGACAAATCAAGAGTGGCAAAGCAGCAGGACTAGACAGCATTCCAGCAGAGGCACTGAAAGCAGACGTAGCGGCAACTGCAAGGATACTCCAAACTTTCTTCAGAAAGATCTCGGATGAGGAACAAGTACCAAAAGACTGGAAAGAAGGACTTCTAATCAAAATACCAAAGAAAGGCGATCTCAGCAGCTGTGACAACTACAGGGGAATCACTCTTCTCTCAATGCCAGGAAAAGTCTTCAACAGGGTATTGTTAAACAGGATGAAGGACTCCATAGACGCCCAACTTCGCGACCAATAGGCAGGATTCCGTAAGGATAGATCGTGCACAGACCAAATCGCAACTCTACGGATCATTGTAGAACAATCAATTGAATAGATATCATCACTCTATATCAACTTCATTGACTACGAAAAAGCATTTGATAGCGTGGACAGAACAACCCTATGGAAGCTTCCTCGACACTACGGCGTGCCTCAGAAGATAGTCAATATCATACAGAATTCCTACGATGGATTAAACTGCAAAATCGTTCATGGAGGACAGTTGACAAAGTCGTTCGAAGTAAAGACCGGTGTCAGGCAAGGTTGCTTACTCTCAACCTTTCTCTTTCTCCTGGTGATTGACTGGATCATAGAGACGTCAACATCTGGTGGAAGCACGGGATACAGTGGACAACTAGGATGCAATTGGATGATCTAGACTTTGCAGATGATCTGGCTCTTCCATAGCAAACGCAACAACAAATGCAGAAGAAGATGACCAGTGTAGCAGCAGCCTCAGCAGCAGTAGATCTCAATATACACAAAGGGAAAAGCAAGATTCTTCGATACAACACAGCATGCATCAATCCAATCACAATTGACGGAGAAGATTTGGAAGATGTAAAAACCTTTACATATTTGGGCAGCATCATCGATGAACACGGTGGATCTGATGCAGATGTGAAGGCACGGATTGGCAAAGCAAGAGCAGCATATTTACAACTGAAGAATATCTGGAAGTCAAAACAATCGGCAACCAACACCAAAGTCAGAATTTTCAATACAAATGTCAAGACAGTTCTACTGTCTGGGGCCGAAACCTGGAAAACTACGAAACCCATCATCCAAAAGATACAGGTGTTTATTAACAGTTGTCTACGCAAAATACTTCAGATCCGTTGGCCGGACACTATAAGCAACAACCTACTGTGGGAGAGAACAAACCAGATCTCAGCAGAGGAAGAAATCAGGAAGAAGCGCTGGAAGTGGATAGGACACACATTGAGGAAAGCACCGAACTGCGTCACAGGACAAGCCCTCACATGGAATCCTCAAGGCCGAAGGAGGAGAGGAAGTCCAAAGAATACATTACGCCGAGAAATGGAGATAGATATGAGAAAAGTGAACAAGAATTGGATGAAACTAGAAAAGAAGGCCCAGGACAGAGTGGGTTGGAGAATGCTGGTCGGCGGCCTATGCTCCATTGGGAGTAACAGACGTAAATAAGTAAGTTTAGGCGATACAAAAGTGACCTTCAGAAACTCCACTTCTTAGGTTCAAAATAGGCTTATGAATCAGTCTGAGAAATTAAGACTAGGACCTGGGGCTAGAAGCTAAGTTGGTCTGTAATTACATTTACGATTTCCATCACAAGTTGACATCAACTGTAATCTAAGAGTTCTGTTTAGCCACATGGGTGAGTGAATTTTGCGTCAAAAGTCAAGATACTACATCAACGATGAGTAATCTGTCTCCTCTCGGTATATTCAGATTTTCTATTCGAACCGCGCTTAATGTTCCTAATCTATATCTGTAGACCTTGAGTAACATGGTCAGGGTTTGATAGTGGTAATAGTGCATATGAATTTACTCCCGACCTTCCCTTAAATCTTGATTCCACACTTTATAACTCAATCTCATACGTCCCTTCTGAACTATATGACGTTTATTATGTTTCCACTAAAGTTAAGGATCAGTATCTCACATTCTCTGCTTTACCTTTTTTTAATTTCCTCTGTCTCTCGTGTTAATATGCATTGCTGTACCTTTGACAAATACAGATTTGTTCCGAATTTTACGTGGATAGTGTACCATTACTAACGTACACCTGTTACTCCTAGTGAAGCATAGGTCGCCGACCAGCATTCTCCAACCCACTCTATCCTTGGCCTTATTTTCTAGTTCTATCAAATTTTTGTTCATTCTTTTCATGTTTGTCTCGATTTTGTCGGTGTAATGTGTTCTTGGGTCTTCCTCTTCCCCTCTAGCCTTGAAGATTTCAAATGAGGGCTTGCTTTTTGACGCGATCGTATGTTTTCCTCAATGTGTGTCCTATCCACTTCCATTGCTTCTTTCTGATTTCTCCTCCAATGGGAGCTGGTTTGTTCTCTCCCACAGTAGGTTGTTACTGATAATGTCTGGCCAACGGATCCCAAGTATTTTGCGTAGACAGCTGTTTGTAAACACTTGTATCTTCTGGAATGTTGTCTGGTCCCGCTGCTTTTGATTTGTCTGATGGCCATTCTGATCCCTTCAATTGTTGGTCAGCCAACATCGATTAAAAATCCGTGGTCGATGCTTTGATGTTCGGTTGTTTCAGTGGAGCTGATCGATTCAAGAGTTCCTTAAAGTGCTCCACCCATCTTTTTCACTGTTCTTCAGTGTTAGTGATTACTTTGCCTTCCTTTCTTTTCACTGGTCGTTCTAGTTGACAATGATTTTCAGTGAGCTTCTTTGTTGTATCATACAATTTTCTCAAATAATGGATGATTGAATAATTAGAAATATTCAACGTAATATGTCATTTAATATATGATTTTGAGGGTAATTAAATTATAGGGCAATCATAAATAACCTAAAGTTATTTATTGTGAACATGTTGAATGACAATATGCCGACATCTCTCCTTGTACACTTTTGACCATAGCAACATAAATCAGTGTTACGTGTGATATCTACTTACAATCATATATAATTCTTCATGATATTTTGAGTTTGAAATACCTTGTAATATCCATTTACAAGTGAACAGCTAGATAATTATTCCTTCAAATATCATATTTTCATGCATATGCTGTATTTGTTTATTTTTTTTAGCTGTTTTCAATCAATGTGTGTGTGTGTATTTTTGTGCTTATGTAAGGACAAAGTAGTTTACAGCACACATAACGCGTATTTTCATGCGTCAGTAAACTTTAGAATACAACTTTAGAATACTCTTTTTATTTTCAATGGTTGAGATCATAAGTCAATTGAAACTAGACCACCATGGAAAACCTGGAAGCATTGGACGACCATTTCGTCCTATTGTGGGACTCCTCAGTAGTGTGCATCCATGATTCCGTCTTGCGAGAACCCGGAACCTATCAGTCTCACGCGAGAGTACTCATTTATAACTTGATGTTTTTGTTACCATTCAACTTGACCAATTTGCTTATATTTTAGATTGAGAAAAACAATAAGAATACCTACAATGTTACTTTTAAATAGTATTTCAGTAGTATTTTGTTATATTCAGTAACGTTTGCATTTCTTTTGTTATATTGTTTTTTCTAAACTTCATTTAATCATATTATCTAAATAGGCAAACAAATTCATTATGGCAACCTGTTACATCACTTTCATCTATGCAGAATTTAATACGATCATGGCGTCATACATTAATTGATGGTGGATGTGAGAAATTACTTCAATCTGGTGTTTATGGTGTTCATCAGGTATGTAAAATTGTCATTCATTGTTCTTTTAGGGGGGGGGGAGAAGTTTTTCATTCCGTACCTATTTCATATGAAGTTGGAATAAGTTTTGAAAATGATAGGTCTGGTCTTATTGATTTGAACAATTAACCCATTCTAAACGACGGGTGTAACAGGGTTTATCTTTATCTCTTATTATACTTGACATTCATAAACAGAGAAGATGAATACAATCATCAAAGTTTTGCAATATCCGTGTTTTATTACCAGTCAGTTAGGTTAAGTGTGCATGATGCATAATTCGAGCCTCACAATTGTAATCTATATAGATTTAAAGCCTGTTCTGTGTTCAGAGGACCTCATAACTGTAGTATACTTATAACTATCAAATTTTCTCAATGATATTCGACCATATTTATGTACATTAGTCAAAAAGTTTTGTAGTAGTGTCTCTTTTTGTCTGAAAGCCTAATCTGTCTGATACATCACAAAACAGAAAGCTATCTTCCAAACATCTGTTATATTACAGTTGCATCCACAGCGTGCAATGTACTATTTTAAGCTGGTGTTTTCTGATTTTTTTAAAAATCAGATTTGAGATTACCTGATTATGTAACTTATTAAGTATCTTTCTATCGTCCAATGACAGTCACCATAGCTTAACTATATCTTTCCTATAAAGAAAGGTAGCTACTCTTACTGATTTAGTACCTCTCAGTAGTAGAGTATTGTTCTCGATTATTAACTCATTTTTGTTACTATCTCTTGATGACTGTTCCAATTTCATATCCTTCTCTTAACCTAAGTGAATTTAGTTGTTAATATAGAAATGGAAAATGTTTATATTCTACATTCACTTGGTGTTGTTTTACTTATATCTTTCCATTGTTATTTAGAACTGCAATTGACTAGTCTCATGTTGGTATATGTGCGTCCTGTGAGGATTTTCTCGATACAGCCTTAGGTCACAAGCATTTTAAGCAATGATGAATAGTGGCTAGCAGTGTAATCCAGTTTGACACGTGTTTCGTTTTATTTAGGACTCGTCAGCCGGATGTACCTCGATCTCAAAGTTGATGTTCAATCCGGGATTCAAACCCAGTACCATTTACTTCAAACACCACTGTGTTATCCATTATGAATCCTATCATAGATAACTGTAAAATGACTTAAGTAAAACATTTTATATTCTAAATTCTTTATGTTATTTATTTATTCTTCTAGGCTGTACTTCGTAGTATCGGTTCGTTCTACGTAGGTTATGATCATATATCATTTGATTATCCATCAAATTCATTGTATCGTGATATTCTATTCCGTCGAATTCATTTAAATAAACCAGGTGTATATGCAAATTTTGAAATACGTCTATTATCTCGTGAAGGTAGTATTAGTTCACCACATTTAATGGCTGTTGAATTATCTGTATGGCGTTCTCCAAATCTTTCAACATTATTATCCTCATTATTATCTAATAATGTATATGAAAATAGTAATTCCATTCTTCAAGCTATAAATTTCTTTATTAAATTAGAGAATGATGCATTAAATAGTTCACTTTATGTTTGTCCAGCTGCTTGTTATTCAACACCAGTTCTAGTCAAGTAAGTGTCTTAAATATTTTTACTTTAGGATATATATTATATTGGAGATTATTTTTTGTATGTATATGATTTAATGTGACTTTTAGAACTATTTTTATTTTATTTTATTTATTTTAACACATAGGTATAGGTACAAGGAGGCACCAAGTACATATGCGCCACACGAATCTCAATTGATTTGTGTGAGGGCTGTGATACTGCCCGGGTGCCCAAACCGAAGCAGGTGGTTTTCTTAGAGGGCCACACCCCGAGCCTTTGACCTGAACGTCTAACCCACAAGGCAGTGGAGCATCGTGAGGAGATGCAGTCCCATGGTAGCCGGTGACCAACGATTGGTTCATACGCCATTTGTTCCTTCAGGATACTGGGGCCCATGTGCACCATTGGTTTGGGATCCGGTTAAATCCGGTGCCGGAAATTCGCTTTTCGTCCTCTCATTTTCGTAGACAACACCCGTGGTACGAGAAGGCAGTGAGTAGGACTTCCCTGGCAGAGGCTATATACGCGTGGCCATTTGAGAGCATTTGGAGAGGGAGAGCGGTCTCTCCCCACTCTCGGCCGTACCAGGGCATTTGGGGGCTTTAGAACTATCTAGAGAAATTAGTAGTTATGCAATAAATAAACTATCTATAATCAAGGATTAAATGCATCTTTATAACTATGATTGATTTCTAAACAGAAAGAAAGAATCATTACAACATGACACAAACAATAGATACCATTTTCAATATAAAAAGAATTTTTTAATATTTCAACTTAATTATCTTAAGGGTTTATTCATCTTACTACCAATCTATTTATAATATTCAGTAGTCGAAATATAAATAAAAGGATAATTATCAGTATAGAGTTATAGAGATTAGTAAGTTTTGTATTGAGATCATAAACTGATTGATATTAGATCACCATTAAAAATATGGAAGCACTGAATGGTCGTTTTGTCCCAGAATGGAACTCTTCATCAATGGCTACCAACGATACCACAACCAGGATTCAGACTCAGAACCTTCAGTTTAACATTAATTGATTCATGATTATAATCCAAGATTTAACAATCTCCACAACTCTATACCGATTATTATCATTTTCCCCACTAGTGATTAGGTTTGTGAAGGAGTTCTCAGAGTTCAATGGTGGATCTAATATCAATCGGTTCATGATTTCAATCAAAGAAAGGATAATTTTTTATACCCTAGTAAAACTCGCGGTTACTTTTGAATTATTAGTTGAATGAATCTCTTGCTGATATTCAAGACCTGTTATCCTAAATCTAATTGGTTTGTTCATGAATGATAGTCTTTCCAAAGAGAAAATTACTGTCATTCATCATATTACGTAATGTTCACTGATTCGTAATGTTGTTTTCGCTTTTATTCATTAAGATTTGTCAATAAAACTTATTATTATTATTATTATCTATGCTGGTTGCTTTTTATCTACTTCCTTTACTGGACATTTTATACAAGTCCAATCGGCCAATCACAATCAAGGTTATAGATAAAGATCATGTGATCAAAGGTCGTCTTTGATCAAACGTTAAAAAAAATTTTTTTGTCTACCCCCTCGCAAACGATCGATAAAAATAGATTTTAGCCCAGAAACTTAAAGAAATTAGAATGTGATTTGAAAAATAACTAACTAGCATAATAATAATAATAATAATAAGTGTATTTTAATTTGGTTTATTTTAAGTAAATAATCGATTGTTTGTTACCTTAGCAACGGTCCTTTACTAAATAACTATTGACGATTTATGTAATTACTTTTGTAACTTCAACAATTGAAATCATGAGTCAATTGAAGCTAGACCAGTATGGAAAACCTGGCAGCACTGGACAGCTGTTTCATCCTATTGTGGGACTCCAGAACAGTGAGCATTCATGATCCCGCCCATCGCGAGATCCGAGCCCAGAACTTATCTGTCTCGTGCGCGAGCGCTTAACCATTAGACCACTAAGCTGTCATCCAACGGTGTTAATATCTAACTTCAACCAATCCACGAGATTACGCCACCGTCCACCATTGACTCATGACTTCAACTATTGAAATTACTAAATTCTCCACAAAACCCCTTCTGATAATTACTTTTGCATTATAGAGTAATGTACACTACTTATGTTGTAATGAATAGACCAGTACTATATCACATAGTTGTATCTTCATCTTCATATATATATGTTTGGAAAGTTATTTATGTGTGGTGAAACTATCAGTTGAGTAATCTAAAGCTTAAGTGTACAACGCTAGTTGATTATTTATGATATTGTGAACGTATAACTAATTATATTGAGGAGCAGAAAACACTTGAATTCTAACTGAAAATATAAATCCGTAGAATGGAGAACATATTTACACAACTATACAGAAATCGTCTAGATGAATACTGTATTTCAATAGATGTGGATATTGGCATAAATATCATCCATGTTGGTCTAGCTTCAATTCACTCATAATCTCAACTATTGAACTTATTACCATCTCCACAAAACCCCTTCTGATACTAATCAACATATACTCACTAATGATTGGCTTCAAAAGTTATTTCCTAGAGTTCTAATGAGAAGCAGTAACTAATGGAGTTCAACCGTGTCTGTTGTGAGATGGTAACTCACTGAAGACAATCGTGGATGTGTCGCTCAATTTGGCGGATTAGTTGAAGTTAGACATTAACACCGTTGAATACCGGCTCAGTGATCTAGAGGTTAAGCGCTTGCGCGCGAGACTGGTAAGTCCTGGGTTCTAATCCCGCGAGACGGGGTCGTGGATGCTTATTGCTAAGCAGTTCCACAGTAGGAAGAAATAGCCGTCCAGTGCTTTCAAGCTTTCCACGGTAGTCCAGCTTCGATTGACTCATTATCTCAACTACAATCTCCACAAAACCCCTTCTGATACATATTTTTTGTGTTATGAGTTCTAATAATCTGAAAATATGTTTTATTTCACTATGTCATCGGTTACTAACCACATTATATATAAGGTTCAAAAATAGGATATCGCTGTTTATCATAAAAATCCATAGATTATGAATTAGATCTTGCAATATAACTTATTTGTACTCTTCCCACTTGTACATCATAAGATTTTTCACGATAGAACTACCTCATGAATTCACGAAGTAGACTGTTAGATACACAGGTTACATTTTTGCCTTGTCTAGTTAAATATATAATCGTTTATTTGTACTTCTGTAGGTAGCTGATATATTTTGGATACTTTTTCACTACAATGTTTCTTTTGGTTAAGAGTAGTAAAATGGACAAAATTTTTTTTTACTAGTTAATAAACTACGCGCTGTGTAGACTAAAGGTCATTACTGTCGACCATGCAGGAACTACTCGTATAACGAAAGAAATTTACTTGTATGAATCTGCATTGTGTATCAATTGACTGACTTAATATGATTTTTCTTTCAGTCCAATGTCCCGAATAGCAGATGCTAAAAAACAATCAATGGTTCACCAGCAGAAATGAGTCCTCTTATTTAACAAAACGGTACAACCGTGTAAATAAACTTTTTGATTCAGATCATGAACCGATTGATGTTAGACCACCATTGAAAACTTGGAAGCACTGGACGGCTGTTTCGTCCTATTGTGGATTTCCCCAGATTCCACTCGCGGGATTCGATGGGTTCATGATCTGAATCAAAAACTTGACGATCTCCACCACTCTGTACTGATAATTACCATGTGCTCACTAGTGACTAGCTTCGTGAGGGAATTCTGAGAGAAGCAGTGACCAGTGGAGCCAATCCGTGTCGGGTAGAGTCAGGTATCTACTTCAGTACAATGGTAGACAGTCGCGCAATTTCGAGGATTGGCTGAGGTTAGACATTAACACCATTGGACGCCGGATCAGTGGTCCAGTAGGTTAAGCGTTCGTGCGCGAGACTGAGGGTCACAGGTTCGAATCCCGCGAGGTGGAATCGTGGATGCGCACTGCTGAGAAGTCCCACAATAGAACGAAACGGCGTACAGCGCTCCCAGGTTTTCAGTGGTGGTCTAACATTAATCGGTTCATGATCTGAATCAAAAACTTGATAATCTCCACAACCCTATACTGAGACTAAACTTTTGCCTGATATATGAATTACTTAACCCAATTTAACTTACGTCAGGGGATAAATATTGCTATCTTTGAAACATATGCGGTAACACAAGTCTTGTTTCACAAAACCGCATATCCTGATAGGAAATACTGGTAATATCTCTAGTTTTAATGATCAAAATAAGGAGTAGACCGTAATCAATCAGAAGTAACTTACTCTCTCAAGTGAATCGTTCAGTTTGATTATTCTGCTTAAATCAAAGGCCTTTCAGAAATACAAAGAGACCATTATGTACGTTTTGATCTAATTCAGTAACGGTATTATTCCGTTGTTTTGTTTTATCAAAACTATGTTATTTCTACACATCTGATAAATTTATTTAAAATAACGTCAAAAATAAGATTTCGCTTGAATTGAAGGGGTCAAATAAGGACAAGTGAAAAAATAGCTACCTACTGAGACGGTGAATGAACTGTTTCGATATCATTTGGAAAGAAACAGGGATCAATGAACAGATTATCACCTGATATTATTATAAAGAATCATCTGAGAAATGGAAAGATTAATAAACTTAATAGAATGTTAGTATATAGGAAACGACTTGGGTTGCATTTAAGAATAGAAACACGATACTATAAATGAAAGTGTACTTCTGCGTCAAGATTTTTTATCTTGATGTATCCATGATCTTGTTCAAAACTATAATGAATGTTTAGCTGTTAAGCGGGAACACTTTCATTTTATAATTGTTTTGTGTCTGTTTGCCTGTCTTCCTAGTAAACAACATCCCGATATTACTTTCATCCAACCTACAGAGACATTTAAACCCAGTATTTTCATCGCCGATTGTTTTCCTAGATTCCTATATTTTGTTCCTTTCCTTTAGTCAACGTATTCACTTAAATTTCGGATTCCCCAACGTAAGCAGTCGGTGTTAACAATTCGAGTTATTAAAGTGGTATTTCCGGTTTCGCAAGGTCGCACCACATATTTGAGTTTCCGATATTTACACTTTGTCAAACCAACCTATAGGCCTCATTAGTTGAAAAACATACACTTCCGAGTGAAACCTCAATCGATATTTATCTGTAGCACCCCCAGTCGAATGATCTTGTAAGTTTCGAAAGGTCAAGATACGTGTTCTTGTTCTTTGGATTCCAAGCTGGCTACAGCTCAAACGTTGAGGTCAGTTTTACTGAATATTACTCAACCTTCTCACAAAAGCCCAGCACTCGAACGTAGTAATTGAGGCAGGGAGCTTCAACACCTAAATATGGCAGTCCAAGCCAAGCAAGTATTCAAGTGGTGATTTGACATTTTATCCCAATGCATAGATAACAATAACTTCCACTGGCACCGTAACACAACCTAAGGCCTCCTCGTGTCGCTGCTGGCTAGTAGGGGGGGGGGCCTTGCCAGCCAACTTAGGCGGTCGACGGAGAACAAACTGATTACCCATTCTGTTGTATCTTTGATCACCCTGAGGCTGACGTAACCGTACTGAGTCATTTGATTTGTATGCTTATATATAAGAATTTCAGAATTCTTCGGACTTATGTAGTTCATATATGTAGATATATCGTACGAAGGAAACACCTGGTGAAATATTATCTGCCCTATGTCTAATAAAATAAGCGGCCTGTCAGTCAGATCAAAGACATAATTAAAAGATTTAGTATCAAATGCTAGGAAAAGACGGCCAACAACCTCTCATGAGAGAATGTTTATGCTTATGTGTGTGTCAAGAAGTACTGGGGCGATAGATACGTGCCCAATGATATGAATGTAATGTGTAAGATATAGTCTGGTGTAGCGAATATGTTTCCAAGGGTGTGGCGAACACATACCCTCTCAGGTACGTAAATATACTTATATATATGCTATGAGATGGACGGAATAAAACCTGTTACGGGTGTGCATGTGGCGCACACTTTGCTCACATGATAGGTATATCTGTATGTATACCAAGTAATACTCGGATGAAAGTCCATGTGTTGCTTAGTATGCATGTTGACCACACCTATTCATGGTAAGTAATAACTAAAAATCGTTTACTTGTTCTTATTACGCCATTCAGAGTTCTTGCATTTCAGATGTTAGGTATAAACTGTGGTCGCGTGAAGAAAGTTGGGTAATGTTAAGTAGATGGAGATTTGTAGCTCAGGTGGATGATTTTGATGGAGTTTTGTTCTCTGAACTGGATGGTCATTCAGAGGAATGATGAAGGCTCCACGACCAAACCATCCAGCCCAGAGAACAAAACTTCATCAAAATGTTAAGTAGAACTTAGCTACTTATCAAATTCCACAAAGGCAAGTAGTCTTTAGCTGAAGCGAGCGGAAATTTCACCTTCTTTTCGTGGAAGATACTTGGATAAGTAGAGCTGATGAGTCGCAGATAACAAAAGCCTTGGTATTTACTCGACCGGCTGTAAGGTAGGTACTGACAACCGACGATGCAAACTGTTATTTCAATGGGTCGTATTAAACAACTATCATGCTACACAAGACTTTTATTAATTTCTGATCAACTGTGAAGTCCGACTGAAATAAGCACCCTTGGGACAACAATCAGTTGCACTAGCAAGGTCGCAAGTCGGTAGGTGAAATTTCGATTTATATCTGATTAAGTGATGGCGATATAAGCCAAGCTCACCGTTTTCCTGTACTGATGTTACATGAACACTAGCATCGAAGTCGTCTAGAGTAGTATTGATACTAGATGACGCGGAAACTGACCTTGAAACTACCGGCTATCAATCCTAGCGTCTGGTAGTGGTGCTAAATTGAGTACCTTGAGTGGCATACTTAGTCGCAGTTATGTTCATTCCTAACCTTCACTTGACTGTGTTTCATACTACTTTTATATTTCGCCCTCATCGGATTATCATTGCAAAAATAGGACATCTTATATTATCTTGATCCACTGCTTTCTTGGTGTCTGTAAGGACAGTGCGAAATGGTTCTTAAAATACGTTGCTAGTAATTCCTTCATTTCTGATTGCTGTTCAAAACCTAAACTTACTAATTACCCACCAACTTAACTATTCAGTACCTCGAGTAGATGGTGAAGACATGTACTGCTGAGTGTCTAACAGCATGCATGACCTACAAATAGACTCAGCAATACATAAGCTTTGCATTATTTTCAGTATAAGCACCCACACCTTAGTGAATGGTTAAGCAGCTGAAACAAACCATACCATCCCAAGTCACGTTATGCGTCTACAAAGTACAATGTGACACCTTAACGATAATGCATTTTTCGAAGATTATGTATTTTTCTAATTTTCTCGACCTTTCGACAATTATTTTTTTTTGCTTTTTAGGACTAATAGACTCGTCGTGCCATTTACCATAAGTATACCGCCTACAGCACTAATGTATCTTGGAACTGAACTCGAAGAGCTCAAGAAGTACAGTCAGACCCTACGTTATGTTAAAATATCTCCCGGTCCAGCACCCAGACATGATATAATTACATTGCATAGACATGGACATGCATTCGGCGGGTTACCTTGGCTTTTTTGGATTAGTTTGGTTTTACTGATCGCTATTTTTCACATGTTTTTCTGTAAAATCATATACAACGAACTGCGAAATAAAAACCAGAAGTTTGAACCTCATAATCCCTGGAAGTTACCACGATATGCCTCTGACTTGATCTCCTCAGCAGGCCTTGAAACTAAAGTCCTTAGAAACACTCAGATATCAAGACGAAGAATAGTTGATTTAGACACTGTCCCTTGACTGGGCCATAGCAAATCTAACTATTTGACCTCCAAATCGCTTTTTAATAAAAAAGGAATATTTTTAGAGATAAACATTTATATACATATATGAAACAAAACTGTTTTGAACAAAGCACGGTTATTCATACTGAAAAATATAGTTAGAAAGTAATATTACACAACAGATGTTTATGGTCTTTATTTCCGGATGAGTTACGGATGGGTGAGCAACTTAGGAAGTGCACAACACCGGATACCATAAGAGTTATCCAAGCATTACACAAAAATACAACAAATTAAACCAAAAAAATCATAACTTTGCGAATGATACAGTAGAGGGAAAATTATTAGTTTAGTGTACTGTTAAATAAGTGACTGGACACTTTGGTTAGCAATGTACATTTACAACGAGTAGATTTTTTCTGTACATTCCGAAAGATTTCTGTACAAGTATTCCACAAAACTAAAGAACAGCTGCTGCCACGCAAACACTTGGTCATCAAACAGGTCAGTAAAAGCGTTGTTAGGCATTGAAAAGTTTATCACAGATACCCAGAGCGCTAGTAAACATAAAAGACAAACATAACTACGAACAATGTAGGCAGAACAATAACCAGGCCGTGTGACAGGTTAATAGGTTGAAGAAGTTCAAAATAAAGAATTTTAGTAAAAGCCAGATTTAGCTGCCCATGAGTACGCCACTAGAAAATGCTCCGACAGCTTTAACCAGTTAGAGCGTACCGGGAGTAAAGGCAAACAAAGCGAAGTCAAAGCGCCATGTGACGGGACTTGTGAAATTAAGGGATGACAAAACAATATTAGAAGGAAAAGCGGCCTGTTTAGGTGAGCTGCCGCAAATGAGCCGTGATTTACATTGAAAGAGTTGAGGCTGAAAGTCAAAAATCAACAGAGAGATCTAAATTACAAAATGCAAAGAACAAATGCTAACCAGAAAGAATTGAGTTGGAATCAGAACATCATCATATACTTAATTTAAACGACATATAGGAAGGGGATGATGACACTCTGCTTACGATAGATTTCTAGCTACTTTTGTGACCTCCTGTCGAATCAGCAGGCGATGTGCGACCGGAATGATCGGCACTGTGAACATTATTACGAAAGATTGATGACGCGTATGAAACGTTATGACCTGCGGAAGACTCCGAATCATGTTGGGGACTCGAACCGTTCATTTGCATCCAAGTATTAGATACACCGTTGGGACAATAATTTAGTCCATACACAAGGTTTAGAACCCGCTGGTCAATTTTCCCACCACTATGCTCCTAAACTAAGTTAGTACAAAGTAAGAGCAACATACCTCCAGAAATCTGAAGAACGTTTCACCCGTAAGCATTGCATCACTTCCAGCTTGATGCTGTAAGCCGATACGTGGTACTCTCATCAGGTCGGCTAACTCTTGTAATCCACTCTTGGGGAACTTGTGTTCACTCATCATTGACTTTAGATCTACTATCTTGGGAAAGAAGATCAACAACAGCTTTTGAAACTCCAAGAAGTTGTCCGGCATTCTCATCCAATCTGTACAAATTTTCATCAGATATGCAAAATCGTAGGCACTAAATACGGCTTTAATTTAGCTCCTCGAAACCTACCTGTGGAACCCTATCCACGTTATTTTGTCATTCAGCGGAAGACCGCTGGTAAGAAACGCCTCTGCAAAGTCACTAAGTTCAACTCCTGTTCTTTTTAGCTTATCAAAATCTATTCCAGAAACTTCCAATAATTGAATAGAATCGGCCGCATGCATTTCATTGTCAACATTCCACTTAATGTTAAACTGCACAGTTGAGACCGAATCGACCGTTTGACCACTCTCATCGAAAAAACTAAACCCAATCTGTATTGGTTTAAGCATGTCAATATTAACTTTAATATTGTGGTAGGCTTGTTCAAAACTGTTGGCGTACTCACCAAAAACCTTCGCAACAACACCTGGAAACTCTGTATCTACCGCAACATACTGGCATTCTCGTACAAGTCTACGGACAAGGCGCATTCCCTCATGAAAATTGTGGGCCCAAATATCCCAAACGCGAACCTGACTGCTATCCTGTGAAACAGTGAGGGCGGAGACATTGTTAGGATTCGAATGAACATGATGTAGTATTCCATGGTGGACGTGATTATGTGTAGTGTGTCCATGACTGTGGTACGCAGCTCCAGAGGTGTAACTATCAGTTGTTACTGTCATATTAGATCGGTAGTTATACTTTCCGAAATGAGGATTAACAGGTGACTCAGGAAGTGAAGTATGAAGTATGTGGTTTGAATAGCCGTTTTGTGTTATAGATTGGAGTTCGCGAAATGGGTGCATTGAATAACATAAGTGACACATTCAGTTATCCTGTCTGAAAATACACACAAGAAATAAGAATCACACCAATTATGTAAAGCGATAGCATAAAATAACAAATATAGACAAACACATACCAAGACCGCTCATAAGAGTAAGACAATAGCTCTATTCCGCACTTTAACACTTTCGCTTCCCCCCAAAAATACAGAGTAGCTTGATGAAACAAAACTAGTGTTTCGGAAAATTTAGCATTCTACTCGCTGATGTTAGTATTTACCTACTGATTAATAATTACATAAGCAATTTTTCAATATAAATCACAATACTTTGATACTATTACCACTAAATATACAAGCATCATCTTCACGCTACTTAAATACAGAATACCCTAACCATATAAGCTGCTGAGACAATGGTACGTGGATCATAAACATGGGAATTACTACGATGACAGCTGAAATGTAAAAACAAGATGTCAAACTAGTTGTAGTGAACTTTGGCTCTGAATATTTAACAGACGATCCTTGTCAGATGAGTGTAGAAACCTCGTAGTAGATGACCTGCAGTGGTGAACAAATCCCTGAAAAATCAATGATTCTTTAAGTCTCTTACATTCAATGCTGACTGCATTAGTTTTAATGAACTCACCCAATTGAAGTCGCTGGGTCATGCTTCCATACCACATCACTAGTGAATTCACCGTTCTACACATCTACAACTGCTAGTCAACTTAGATTAACCACTTATCGATATATTGATAGCCCGTCAAATATGTCTACGAACCTCTCAGCTTCTGACTTTTAGTTTGACTGGATTGGTATACTTCGATCGCAAAAGGTGTTACTGGTTAAGGCGTTGTTAAAGTCTGGACGCTTGTGGAGTCTTTAGATTTCAGTACACTCTCTATTACCTGGATAAACTTGAAGATAGAATCATCGGTAAACCCGTCCTATTAGAAACCATTGGAATACATAGTATCATAAGTTCTAGTTTGGTACACCATGGATTTCACTAGATGTGAGTTACGGGACATGTCTGTGTTAGACTTAAGCTCTAATGGAGGGCAATGATCTAAGTCGAGTTAAACCCATCCAGCTCAAGAAGTGAACACACTGTCCAGCGCCCTAAAGTCTAACACGCAGACATTGTGACCCATCTTAATGCATGGAAAGTGATGTGAATGTAATCAACCTTACGGCATCGTTAGGAGGCTGAACAGTAACTTGGAAGCATTGGTTGGAGTGTCGTGAAGTCGATTCCAAAAGTTTTGTGTCACTTTTTTCATATTTTAGACTGTTCCGAAGGAGAGAAAACTTGGCTATTCATGGATACGCTGTGAGATTTTCTTGCTTCAACGAAAGTTACTGGAACATTTCCAACATTCTTCGAATAGAAGAGGCAATTAATCTCTACATGTCAATTCTGAAAAAACGAAACGATGTGTATCCCATAGAGAAAATCAAGTAACCGATGCAGTTATTCTCAAACATCATTTACAATACAGGAGCATGTTTATAAAGTCTCAATTTAATTAGTGGGCTGAGTGAGTCATATATGGAAGAAAAACCAAGGCTAAACGAATGCTGTGGCAGGTTACTCCATGATAACCTTTGCTCATGAGCTCCTTCTTAACACAAGATTGGTTTCAAAATCAATGTCATATAATCGCCGCCTTATCTGACTTCGACCAGAACGACGGATTAAAGTCACAAAGATCTCCAAATAGAGAAAGAACGGAAAAGGATGGGATGCATTCTTAGACTATCGATGTAACATGTAATATACATCTTCGTCCCTAGCACTGTAACATTCGAAATATCTGTCAGCCAGTATGACACCAGTAGGCTAGAAGAATGTGGCTGTCCCTCTAGTTTCCAAGAAAGGATCACGGCAACTATCAGGTTACAAATTTTAGTCTGATCGTTTTCGTAGTATTAGTATTGAAAAAAATTGTATCAGCTTAGGTTGATTGGTTAAGATTTGACCTCAAACAACCAAGTATATACAGAAACAATAGAGTTTAAGTGTTCATTTACTTCCTTATATTGTATAGACATGATATTTGCTATTATCTTACATTGAATGTTGAAAAGATTTGTTCGTCTGAACAGGCAATTCCATGTACCACTGTCACTGGACGAAGATCTAAATAAAGACCTATGCACTACTTCTTTGGTTTCTCCAATCGAGAAGACGAGGGATACCTATAGGCACGAAAGAATCACCAGGGAGTTCGATCTAATTTTCCTCCTACTGAATAAGATAGCTGTCAGTGAACAGTACGGTTTCTGTTAACAAGAAAGCGATGCATTGGGTCGTTCTATGACTAAAACTCAAGTGATATTGTCTTCGTTGACTTCGGTCAACCCTCTGATAATGTGATGTATTATAGGATCCTACTAAAACTAAATTTGGAGTTGCTGAGTCCTTGTCAGAATGAACCAAACGCCTTTTTGTCTGATGACAGATGATAATAATAAATTTTAAATGTTCCCTCTGGAATCAAGTACACAGTGGAGTACAATATAGCCCTGTCCTTTTTACTCCATTGTTTAGACCTTGTGTGAATTGACTATACAGTGTCGCTAGGCCTACGATGCTAATTTACTCTCATGATGTCAATGACTGAAGAGAGGCATCAAGGTATGAAGATCTGTGTGCCTTCCAAGCCAACGTGAACATTCTGGCTAGTTGGT